GATTCAGTGTCTTGCCCAAGGACACTTCAACATGTGGAGGGGCTGAACCGCCAGCCTTGTGATTAGTGGCCAACCCACTCTACCACCTGAGCCACAATTTTCTAATCAATTAATCAGCCACCTGTTCTGCTGCTTCCTTGTTGTCTGTACTGAGAGCTCCCTGTTCATTTCCCTGTAAAACTTTTCCAGATGATACCATCTGGAAGAAACTGTGGTGGTTTTGTAAAGGGTAGTATATGGAATTTCTGATGATTATTCACATTTTAGAACATAATTTAACTTAGGTTCATTGATAAGCAGTCGTCCTCTTAAATTTCTGAATACTAGGATCAGTCAAATTTTATTTTCCTGCTATACTGTATTAGTTGCTCTACTTCTAAATTTCGTCACCACTTAATAATTTGCTATATTTCCTGTTCCTCTTCCTCACATTGCCATGGCCTTTATTTCACCTCTGGAGTGGAATTGTATGAATCATTTGTTTGTATTATTCAGTATCTGAATTCATAGTCTTAATTTAGAACCCTAAAGAATGAGATATACGATATAATGCAGTATAATGCCCTTTTTTCATGGATCATGAAGCAAATGCATTTATCTGACTGTAGTTGGAAGTAGTAGGCAGACTGGGTGACGATTCGGAAGAAGTATAGGAGAAAATACATTTGCCCTAAAGGAAAGAGGATAAAGACAAACGGGGGGAAAAAAGTGGGACAAAAGAGATAAGGAAACAAACGGTTGTGAATAAGGAGCAAAGTACAGAAGCATGGAGGAGGAAGAGATTAAAGGAGGAGGTGATGACTGAAGAGTAGAGACTCTGGATTGAGAAAATCTGTGGTCCAGTGACCCTTAACAATCCCCTAAGAGAGTATCAGAGGGTGAGAGGGTCTGCGAAAAGATAAAAGATCCAACTGAATGTGTTAAGGTTGCTCTCATAGTGATTAGCTGGATAGTAGCTCAAGTAAGCTTCTGCATAATTGCCATGCTGCCATATTTTATGTCTTTTAATTCTTTCCATTCTTGTCTCCAAGGTGCTGATCCTGAAATCTGTAATTGGAGCACTTTTATATATTGGTCACGGTGGAAATCTCATTTATTGTATCAATTAATTTGAAATGCATTTAGGAACCACTGTACGCATTGTGTGAGTTGTAGAGCCAAATGCATGGAGATGGTTTATAATGCATGGATTTGATTATTAAATTTTTCATTCCTGAGTGCTTATGCGTGACTTAATACAGTTTAAGCATTTTGCATTATTAAAATTTATTTGATATTTTTACAACATGGCTGTTATGCTCCTCTAAATGCAACCCTGGAGCTCACCTTTACACAGTATTGTAGAGTAATGCAGGAATATATAATCTCTTTTCTCTACTTTGGCTCAATGGCTGCGTTTTTTTAACGTGCTGTATAACGGTGACTTGACTTGACGGAGGGGACTGAAAACATACTAGAAAGATTAAAAGTAGTGGTAGAACAATAAATATAAAAGCATCTGTGATCGTATTTGATGCAAAATTCTAATAAAATTCCTTTTACCCTCTGAACCCCGAGCTGTTCATGGGTATTGTTTGCTCCTGTCCCATTTTAACTTCCTGTAAGCTGATTTTTAACTGCAATATAAAGTCCTGAACCTCTATGAAAACAGCACAACTATGGCTTGAAGCATTTTTTTTTACAGTACAACAAGTTAAAGTGCCTCAAATCATAAAAAAGAAGGGATGAAAATGTAATTTATTTTATTATTTATTTTAATAACATTTAAAACAACTGGAATCAACATGTCCAACATTTTGTCAAGTGTCCACAGGTGTTAGCAATACTGGGGGGGAAAAGATGGTTCTGCATACTATAGATATTGAACTACTTGTTCTTTTCAACCGCTACAAACTGGCTCTGCTGCTGAACTCTAGAAAGATGTTTCACTGTGCTGAATGTATCTCCCAACAGCTTGCTCCCCTGTATAGCATTTTTTCCGTTACCAAACTGTATTTCTATTATTGATCAAGTGTGTTTTGTTTC